TTCTAAATTCTATTTGAAATCGAATTTATATTTTGATTTTTTCTCTAAAATCAGATTGAAATTAAAAATTCTCTATTTAGTTCATCTTCTTGATTTATTAAATGTAATCGAATCACTTCGAGAATGTTTAACTTGGCCATCCTCTGAATTAAGTTCAAATAGTTTATCACCAACAAATCGTCGTACACCAACGCCAATACAAACTTCATTATCAAATAATGATCAATATTTAACAATAAATCGTTTAACGACATTTTTAACATCAATTTATACAAATTTAAATAAACGTTTACCATCATCACAACAAATTCTTCATATTGAGAATTATGTTCATTCAGCTATAGCTTGGTTTTTATATGTTTATAATAATAATGAATTATCAAATAATAATATTTCTATACGTTTTAATTCATTTCGTGTTGTACTTGTACTTTTATGTACAGGAAAATTAGTTGATAAAATGCGTCATTTATTTACATCATATTTATCATCATCAATGAATGCATTAACATATGGACAAATTGATGAACTTTTACATGACATTCTTGCATTACCATATGCATTACAAGAAATATCATATTCAACATATCGTTCAAATAATGCACAAATAATATTTTCACATTTATCAACAACATTAGTTAGCCTTGATGATTTCCTTGATACATTAATTTATAATGATACAACACCAAATTGTTTACAATGGTTAATTATATTTCATCGTTTAATTAGTGTAGAAAATGGTAAATTTATTTTTTTTTTTATATTTAATATTAAATAGTAAATATTTTGTTTGTTTGTTTGTTTTTTTTATTGAAGTTATTCATCGTGTTAAATGTTCAGCTTGTCAACGAGCATCATTTTCTGGTTTTCGTTATAAATGTCAACAGTGTCATGATCGAACATATCAATTATGTCAAGATTGTTTTTGGCGTGGAAGAGTTTCTGATCAACATTTACCAACACACGAAATGAAAGAATATACATTTTTTACATCACCTGTTAAAGAATTTCGACAATCAATTCGAAGGTAATATGAATACTTGAATAAAGTATCGAAATATCTTATTGATATTGTTTAATTCATAGAAAAAAAAGTCAAATTTAAAATTCTTTTAAAAATAATCTTTGAAATTTTTACAAGAATTTCGATTATAGTAAATTTAAAAAACTACCGATTTACTTCTTCCACAGAGTTTTTCTTTGTAGAAAAGACGAAATAAAAATACAAGATAATAGTTTACTAAATTAGCAACAGTAAATTGTCTGATCAAGGACTTCGTTACTATTTAACGATCTTCTCGATTTACTACTAATTTTCAAGAAGGTTTTTTTTTATGTTTATTCTGATGATATGAATATCTTATAATTTCTAAATCCAAATAAAGTTTTATAAGGCAAAAAAAAAAGTATTTTTTTTTCTATATATTCCGAAATCATTTTTTATAATGATTTCTAACCTTGTTATTAGACAATAGAAATCAACGAACCATATAATCATTTATTATATTGATTGTATTCACTGAACTTTACCCTTGAAAAACTAGTTCGCATTAATATCAACGTGATGTTTTATTGCTAGAAAAGATAAATTCTGAAATTTTGTTTTTTTTTTGTAATAAATTTTTTCATTTTCAATAGATCATTTCAATGTATGCCAAAAAGTGAAGAACGTCGTCCACATATAACTACATCATCATCATCATCATCATCACCACGTTTTTTTTCATGGAAATCTCGAAATAGTAGTGCAAAACGACATCAACAATTAATAAAACAGCACCACCAACAACCGCAACAACAACATAATCCATCAGTATCAATATCATCACCATCAAGTCCATTAATGATAGAAAAAGAACAAATATCATCAAGTTCATCACCACAACTTATTCGACTTAGTACACCAAAACCAATCAATCTTGATGAACAACGATCATTATTAACAACAAAAAATGATATTAAAAGAATTGATGAAAATGGACATGAATCTGATATGGATGAACATGTACAAATAGCATATTATGCTCAACAATTAGCATCTATTGGTGAAAAACAAAAACAATATCCAACTGGTATTCAGCCACCAACAAGATTTTCTTCATGTCCAATAAATTTACAAACAAATAATCAATATTATTCAAGAATAACAACAACAACACCATCAGCAATGGTACCAATTTCATCTATTCGTTCAATGAATATGGATCATCAAAGTGCAGAAAAACGTTTAATTATTTCTAAACTTGAAGCAAAAAATAGGTAAAAATAATAAACAATATCATTATTCAGTTTTTTATACATTCTATGCAAGTTAATAAGTACAAATATGACTACTGATAGAAATAAGGCAAAAATATAAGTATAAATAAGTCAAATCTCTTGTGATATTAAATACAATTCTATAGAAGAGTTTAATATATTGTTTAAATCGATTATTAAAGATAAATTCATCAAAATATGATTAGTATGTTTTAAGTTATTTTACTAATCAAAGATCTTTATTTATAAGTATTGATTAGAATAAAATAGAAATGTACAATTCGAGTTAACTGACACCAGTATTCACTAAAACATTGGAACATATCGCTATAAAAAAGAGCATATTCTGATAGAGTTAATATCTCAAGGTTGCAGCGAACATGAATGTTAGTGTTTCAATGAATACCGATACCAATATAATCAATGCCTCAATAGACTTTGTATCGATGACTCACTGTTGAATATTTACACCAACAATGTACATTTCTAGAATAAAATATTTGGAAAAACAAAATGCTAAACCTCTTCATTTATGTTTATAATTTAAAAACCTTCAGAAATAATATTGACGTCAATCTTTAAAGATTTTTAAACTCAAAAACCTGAAAACTTGGCATATTTTGATATAAATATACTAAACAGTTAAACTTCCCTCTTGATGAGAGATTAATTAATTAAGAAATGTCTTCTATTGCTTTTGAATTCAAAAGATATTTATATCTCTGTAACATTCACAATTTAAAATGAATAGCCACAGTTCTGATTAAGAAACTATTAGTAACATAGACAAAAAAAAATCTAGAATTCTTTTTCTCTAACTTTTCATTTTAAACATGTCTTCAATTTCTAAAATGATAAAATTTTCTTTTTCTTAGACGTATTCTTCGTGAAATAAATACATTACGAGCTCAACTTAAACGTCGTAATTCACTTGATTATGCTAATTCAAATATCCCAAATGATTTTCATGCATATAGTGATACAGACGCATGCACAACTGGTCTTTATCCATCATCATCTGCTTTATCATCATCAATGAATCGACTTGAACAACGTTATACACAAACATTACCTCATCAACGTACAAGTCCACATCATGAATTATCATCTTATCATCAATATCAACAATCACAATCAACACGTAGTCGTATCCATCAAATGAGACGTGCTGGTTCAACAGAAACAAATCCATATTTAGAACAAGAATTACAAACATTATTATCACGTAAACATCAACTAGAATCACGTATTGATCATTTACAACAAAGTCGAGAAGAATTAACAACACAATTAGATACACTTGGTAAAATTTTACGTTATTCACCTAATATACAACAACGATCAACAACAACGAGTCCACATGGTCGTTTAAGTGTTTCACCATCACGAATGGTTTATCATACACATGGAAATACTTCAAATACAAGAAAAATTAATCCAAATGTTTCATTTCGAAGCTATTCAACACCACCAACACCTCTTCATGATCTATTAACACCTACTGGTAACTTTAATAATTTTTTTTCTTTCTTTTTCACAAGAGTTTTTTACTTTTTTAAGAAACAGGTATCAACGAACCAATATCGATAAGTCAACATACAAAATCTCTACGAACTGATCTTCTTATAGCAGCTGATTCATTAACATCAGCTATGTCATCACTTGTTCAACAATTAAATACTGGTATAAAAGTCAAAAAATAAATAAATACATAAAATTTTTCAAATTCTTAAATATCTATTATTTTTAGAAAGTTCTGAATCTATTCCAACAACAGTTGAGAATATTCTTAATACACAATCTAAAAATGGATTTGATTCTATAAATGAAAATAAAACAAATGTTAACGATAAAATACTTCCGTAAAAGATTATTATCAAAAATAAATAAATAAATAAATTTTTTTTTTAATTTTTTAGAAAAACTTCAATTACTAGTAGTAGTACTACTACTAATAATAATAATAATAATCCAAATGATATCATTGAAAATGATAGTGGAAGTCGAACGGATGAAGAATCACTTTTAACAACGGATGATGAAGATGACGATGAAAGACGTGAAGAACGTACAACAGATGATGATCTATTACGAACAACGGATGATGATGATGCTGCTGGTGGAATTGCTCAAGCAAGAAATTCATTTAGTTTATCATCAACGAAGCGAATAGTAAGATAAAAAAAAAAGAATAATTATTTAATTCAAATGATTATCGTTTTTTTTATTTTATTTATGTTAAATAGGAGTCTTTGACAAGCGAACAACAACAGTGATATTCTTCAATAAATTTCAATTGTGTTTTCTTTTTTTTTGTTCTTTTGTCTACCTTCCATATTGCCAACCGTTTTTTCTCAGGGATAGATATTTAAAAAAAACGTGTTTTCTCTTTGCTCATATATCAAACTATAATCAGTTTTGCTTTTCTGTTTAACAGATGAGCGAAACATTTTACAATGAAGATCAAATAATCGATATATATATATATATATATATTTATGTGGGTTTTATGGAAGAAAAAAAATCAAAACTCTTCTTTTTTTTCTCTTGTGCAGTGGTAGTTTTTGACTAATTTCGTATTTATCTGTGTGTATATTCGTGTTTTTTTTCTCCTTTTCGATACCTGTGTATCGATATCTTTGTTTACTCGTTGTTTTTGTTGTCTATTTATTGCTTATATGTTTTCAATTTAAAATACTTACATCAGCAAAAAAAAAGAAAAAAGAACGAAATTTAGAAACTCATGTAGACAAAATATATTGATTTAAAAGAGACAAAGAAACAATAATAATAGAAAGTACACTGTTTGGGTAAAAGCAAATACCATGATTCGGCATTGTCCATCCAGCAGTAGCAGTTGTTGTTGATGTCGTTGAACTTATCGAAGTACTTGACACTGTTGTAGAATCCGTTGACGAAGTTGTATCTGTTGATTGTGTTGTAGAATCCGTTGGCGAAGTTGTAGCAGTTGATTGTGTTGTAGAATCCGTTGACGAAGTTGTATCTGTTGATTGTGTTGTAGAATCCGTTGACGAAGTTGTAGCAGTTGATTGTGTTGTAGAATCCGTTGACGAAGTTGTATCTGTTGATTCCGTTGACTCTGTCGTAAGATTCAGTGACGAAGTTGTGTCCGTTGTATCCGTTGACTCCGTCGTAAGATCTAATGGCTCTGTTGTATCCGTCGACTCTGTTGTATCCGTTGAATCTGTTGTCAAATCTGTTGATTCTGTTGTATCTGTTGGCACATCTGTAGTCATTGTTGAGCTTTCCAACACAACTGAAGTAGATGTAGAATTTATCGGTGTAATAATTATTTCTGCTGTATTACTATTGTCTGTTACTATACCTATTATTGTGTTATTGGTTGCAATTGATGAAGTTGCTGTAGTGTTTACAACAACAGCTATTACTGAGCTATTTTGTGCAACAATACGTGAAACTAATAGAGCCAAAAGCATAGTAAAAAAGATCTTGATCATAGTAATATTCGATCGATATAACATGATTATAATTACTGAAGAAAAAAACATAGAATGATGAATAAGAGACTTATGAAAATATATTAGAAATAAAATTCTATTTTAATAGAAAATCTTGAAAAATTTGACTTAAATGAATAAGATATGTCAAACAAAAACATATTGTTCTTATCTTTAGAACGATCATAATCAACTTTTTAAAAATCAATGTGAAATTTTCTAATAAGATAGCATAAGGTATGGATAACGTAAAATTTGAGTGAATTTTATTTTTCATTGATTTATATATGATTCCATAGAACTTAAAGAATTAGTTATGAATATATAATTTTGATTTCAATTAGATTGTCCCTACGCTGGAAAAATAAGACTATAAATATAAGCAAAATCACTTTTTTTTCTCAAAACAACTGTTAAGATATATTGATAGCAACTTTTTATGTTATTTATTTTGTATCTAAGAAAATAATTTTTTTTCTACTCAGTTTTTGATGCTGGATTAGAAAAAATGTATTTTCAAAAAAAGTCAGAACGAAGATTAGAGAGACTTAAGAGTTATTTAGAGAAAAAAGTAATTTTGGTTATATCTGTGATATTAGTTTTTTCAACGAATGAGATATTCTAATTGAAATAAAAATTATATATTCGTAAGTATCTATTCAAGTTCGATGTAACCTTATATAAAAAAATGAAAGAAAACATTCACTCGAAGTTTGCATTGCGGTATGTCTTAAAATTTCGTATACAAAATCAAACTTATGAAAACATACTAAATAGATGCTAATTGGTAGTGTGACCGAGTAACATGTAATTTTTTTTTTTCATAATTTCTTTCCCTTTTTGAAAGAAAACCTTGTGGAACGAAATAATTGTTTTAATCAATTTGTAATAGATACTATTTTGGGTGAATTCTCGTTTCGTCGAAAATTTTTATATAGCTGTTTTCCAGTGTTTCTATTTCGTCGGAAAAAATTTTTGTAGCGTTCTCGTTTCATCGAAAAGTAAAATTGAAAGAAAAGATGAAGGATATAAGTAACTTATTCTAATTGCTTTCGTTCTCTTGAATAGACTAAGTGGCATCAAAGAAACAAATTAAACTCTACCGTTACATCATTCAACCAATGATCCAATACCATTACGAAAAATTTACTTATAAATCGAAATCCTTGATCAAAATATTTAGTTAGTGGTTATAAACAACAAACCTTAATTGTGGAAAAATAGGGATTAGGATGAGAGTGTGTGATTGTTTCGATATATATGAGGACGTGGATGATAACTTTCTCATTGCCTACCCACGCATTCAACACTATTAACATCTCAACATTTTTAACAGCTCGGTGTTTGTAAATGTCAGCATTTTTCCCTTTCGATATTCGTGAGGTGACTCCATTAGCTGTGTAATTTTTGTAATGCTCTTAATAAATTTTTTTAAGATCTATCCAGAACCAATTTTTTTGAATTAGTCTGCTAAAGAAAATGAAATGATTATGAATAAGCTAAGTATATTCTGCATATTTTCATTTAAATTTTAATTTTCGACGAAACAAGAACACACGAAAAAAAATTCGACGAAACGAGAACTAACCACTATTTTGAAGGCAAAGAACTTTTCCAGAACATTGTCTATTGTTAAAGTTTTTTTTAACAATTGATAATTTCAGCAAGAAATATTTAATGATAGATGTAAATAAGATAACAATCAAGTCGAAAAATCGACTAAGAAAAATAAATCAATGTTTTTTCTTTTTTTTTTTATAAAACTCTGATCTATTTTCTTTGACTTCAACTTCAGAATAGAAGCGTAAAATCAACTATGCAAGCTTACACAATTTTGAAAATGTTATCTATGAAATAGATATGTATTAGTTTTTGTTTTTCTTTGTGACAATCTACATCAATTTGATTTTATCTTTTTTTATATACAATAAATAATGATCGATGGTTATCTTCTCGTATATTTTCTCTATTTGATATTACTGTACTCTTTTAATTATGGAGCTTACTTTAAGAATAGATGAGAAAAAAAAATGATAGAATATGAATATTAATTTCTTTGTAGTTAAATGCTACATACAGAAAAGATTTATTTTACAAGATCAAATTCACTTCAATTATTTGAAATCAAGATTACTAACTACTCAGTATATAAAGGATAATTTAACTGCGGAAAATACTTACATTTATTTTGCGAATGATTGTTTTCGATGTATAAATATATTATGCGTATAAAGACAGTTTTCTTTCGCTTTTTATAGTTAACTTATGATGTAAAAAAAAAATAGAAGACGTCATTAGTATCTATATAAAAATGACTAAAAATGTATAAGGGATGGGAAAAAAAAATATACTGCGTAAATGAATGATGAGTCAGTATCTTTTGTCTTGGATTTTTCTTTTTCTTGCTCACGTATGAAGGGGATGATTTGTGAAATAATAATATACCGTTGAGTATGTTCGTACTGTTTATCCTCATTATCATATTCTTTTTTTATACATTTCTCTTCGTCATGATTAGTCAATTTTGATGTACGAAATAATATCTAATAAAAGACATCTTTGCACTAAAAGCTCTACATTTCTAAAAGTATGCAGGTTGTTACTCGTGTGAACAACATATTTATTAAATATTCTTGTTTAATTTAATACAATATGATGAAAAAGATTGACGCAAATTATGTGAAGAGACAAAATTATGATAAAAATAATCGACGAGAAAAGATATCACATAAACAATGAAACTGAACAAGGCAACGAATAAACAATATAAGCAAATAGAACTGATTCTTTTTTTTCATGTTTTCTTTATTTTCAACATATGTCTCTGATGACTATTGATAAAAAGAGATTAACAATGAACGGCATTGACACAAGAATCAATTCTTGCTGAACATTACCACACGAAGCGGCTGTAATATTTGAAGTAATGGTTGTATTTGTTGCTGTAGTATTTGGAGCAACGGTTATATTTGATATCGTAGCATTTGAAGTAACAATTGTATATGTTGCTGTAGTATTTGCAGTAACAATTGTATTTGATATTGTAGCATTCGAAGCGATTGTTGTACTTGTTGCTGTAGTATTTGAAGCAACGGTTATATTTGATATCGTAGCATTTGAAGTAACAATTGTATATGTTGCTGTAGTATTTGCAGTAACAATTGTATTTGATATTGTAGCATTCGAAGCGATTGTTGTACTTGTTGTTGTAGTACTTAGATCAACGATTGTATTTGATGTTATATCATTTGAAGCAATCATTGTACTTGTTGTTGTAGTACTTAGATCAACGATTGTATTTGATGTGATATCATTTGAAGCAATCGTTGTACTTGTTGCTGTAGTATCTGGATCAACGATTGTATTTGATGTTGTATCATCTGAAGCAATCGTTGTACTTGTTTCTTCAGTATTTGAGGCAATGGTTGTACTTGCTGTTATTATTATTAGATTAGTAGTAATCGTTGAATCTGTAACAGGTTCCTCCGTAGCTACTGTACTGATTGACCATTCGACCGATATTTCTGTTGTATCAGTGTTGTCTTGTGTGTTGATAACACTCAATAACATACAAACAATATAAAAAGTAATTATATTAAAATGAATTCTTTGAACCATTGTCATGAGTTTTTCGAATTTGATTTTGAAGAGGATCTTTAAATAAATGAAGCAGCAAAATTAATTTTATTGGAAGTATATAATAGTTGTTGGTAACTGATGAAAGACTAGCTATTCTTTGAAATGTGAAAAATTAATCGACCTATATAAGAAAATTTCTTCCCCATTAAAATGCATATAAAAAATAAGTTGGTTAAGTCAATATATATCCGTCTTTGTTTATCTTCTTTGCCGTTTCTTCTCAATAACTATAAAAACATTAGTTAACAAAGGTAAATTATTGCCTAATTATAATTTTCAACTTCTTATTCGGCAACATTTCTAGTATGTACGTACTATTTTCTCTATCACTGTCTCTCATTCCCTGTTACTTAGTTTCTACTTATTTTTTTCCCATGTCCTGAATAAATTTCAAAAACAACAGTTTCTTTAGAATAAAATTTACAATCTAAAGTTTTTTTTTTATATGAAAAGTTCTTCGTATATTTTTTGTTATTTTCCATATATTAATCTTATTCTTTTTGTCATTTATATTCATATATTTGTTTCTTATGAAATTATTTTCTATTCAAGTTAATCTTTTGTTTTGATAAGATTTATAAACGATGCACAACAAAAGCACGACAAAAAAAAACCATTCCTAAAAAAAAAAATTTTTGTTTAAACATTGATAAAATTCATATCTTTTTTCATATTCTTTTTTTTTGAAGAAATTTTCTAGTCAGAATAAGTAAATACTATTATAAAATCTGCGTAGTTAATATCTTTCTTTTTGTTTTTCTAACAAACGATGATCACCAACCAATGTTAAGAAAAAAAAAGCATTTTTCTTTCTATCTTTTTTTCAGAATACTTACCGATTGCTTTCATCACAGAATAAACAGCTATAGAATCAGATGTTTGAAATAGAAAATAATACGATGACAAGAAAAAAACTTTCTGACAACGTCTTAACGACACAAAAAATTAATCTACCTAATATAATTTATTCTAAATGAAATACTATTCTCTCATGCATACATATATATCTATATATTTGTCAGGGATTATGTACTAAAAATAAGCATAGATTAAACAGATCGATAATATTGAAATATCGAATAATCATTTTACAAAAGTTTCTCGATTTCAAGTTTCTTTTATTGATGAAATGTTGGTTTATATTTGAAAAATATTAATCAGTAATATCAAATGTTGATTAACGATGTTGTAAAACAAAAGAAAAATTCAGTTACATCATTTTTATTAAACACAATTGATGAGAATATTTCACACTTTTCGAATTAAATCCTGTCCACAATATATTGATCTATTATTGTTATAGAAAATTTCTTCGTATACATCTATTTCTTATTTTCTTTCTATTAACAAAGTAATATCGAATGTGAGAAAAGTTTTACGATATTTTTTTTTTTGCATATAACTCTGTTGAGAAACAAGATGTAGAATGTTGATCTTTTTCTTCTCAAAAGACACATCATTAACTATTATATTCGGATCACAAGATCAAATCTTTATAGCTATTTTCAAAATTTAAATAGACTGCTAACATTGAACAAGTGTAACATTGTGCTATTTCCTACAAGAAAAAATAAGAGAAAGCCGAAAAATTTTGAATTTTGTTCATTCACTTGAGATATAATGTTTGAAACTAATCAAAGACTTAGTCTAGTCTTCAAAGCATGAGAATCACCACTTGTCCTTGCCTCAAATACAAGTGAAACATAACGTCTGTGTCAATTGATGTGAATGCTTCGCCTAGAAATAAAATGTTTTTGTTTTTGCTGTGTTGTTCTCAAATATATCGTCTAAAAACAGTGAGCCCGATGCACAGATCGCTAGATTAATCATTCTCGGCTGTTGAAAAAATGAATCGTAAAAAAAAGAATTAAATTTTACAAAATAATACAATGAGAAATTGACTTCAAATGAAGATGATGAAAATACGTTGAGGAGAAATCAGTATTGAGCTTATAGGAAGAACTGGTAGGATGATGAACGTTTTGGCTTTTTTAGAGTATCTGTGACAGCCCATTTTATCTAACATTGATTTGATTTAAAATAAGCTTATTTGTCAATCACAAAATCGACTTTTCCGATTTTTTTCTTGTGGAAACTAACAAAATGACACATGTGTTCAGTGTTAATGCTTTATTAAAATTTCGAAAATAGCTATTAGGATTTTATCTTGTGATTCGAGTAGAACATTTAATGATGTATCTTTTGAAAAAAAAACAATCAATGTTTTATCATATCCTTGAACAGAATTACATGCAAAACAAAAATATCGCAAAACTTTTGCCACACAAGATATACTTTCCTTAACTTCAAAATGGTTGTTAACAATAATTTTAAAACTGAGCTTTTTTTTTCAATAGAAAATTTATACAACATATTTGACTGTGTTATGGTTAGAATTTGCTCTTCTCGAACTATGTAACAAATATTAGTACTTAGTTAATCTTCGATTTCAAAAGTTATCTTTAAACATGTTTACAATTACAACAACAAATAATCTTAATACTGTTGATCGCTTACCTAGTTAATGATATTCTAACTTATATCTTTCGTAAGAATTGCTCAATCTATTTCATCTTTTTTACTTTCAAAAAAAAAGAAACTTTTCTAAAAAATATTTTTTTGTATTTCCATAGATAAATTTATAGAATTATGTAGAACGAGTACGTATGGTAACTGATCTTTGTTAGCTATAAATCGTCTTAAAAGATTAATCTGATGTTCATAATCGCACTAAAAAAATATTTAATTCTGATATTTTGCTTGAATTTTTTCTTAGATGAAAAATAAATTATTGATGACTTGCACAAAAACTAGAAGACTATAAAAAAATGCTTCATCTATAAAACTGTATATCTATCAATTCTTTGTATTTATCATTTTGAATTCTAAAACATCTAAAGCAAATTGATACTAACTGTGATGCAAATATAAAAAAACCTACAATGATGTAAACATAAAACAAGAATATTATATCTATACGTGACTCAAAGAGGAAAATGTATTTCCTTCAAAATTTGACATGTTAATTAAAGATTATTTTTCTAATGAAGTTAATAGTACATAATAGTATATATATTATATCCTAATGATCTTTGGAACAAAACACGATATGAAACATAAATAAATAATATTTTGAATTTGTATTTATGAGTAAAAAAAAGCAATGGTTTTGTTAAATACGAAATGTAATGTGTATTTTATATTAAAACAAGAAATTCAAATTCCATTTGTTTTCTCTACATACTCAGTATTGATCTTATACAAAGGTGGTGGAATGTTCAAACAACAGCTAGAGGAGGCTTACCCTGCTCCTCTTATCAATGGTTAAGTTCTCTTTAGAAGCGTTACTAGAAATCTTCGCCTCTCTACAAACATGGTCAGGAGACGAGCCATAGTGAACAGAAAAAGAAGATCAGGAGTAATCTTTATCATTAGCATCGTTAATAACTTGAGCTTTTGTCTAATTGTGCTGTGCACTTGATGCTGATTTGATTCTTTTATCTAACTTCTTTTACTCATATGATTTCTGAGCAATAAATCGGCAAAGCTCTGTAGTTCTCCTAAGGTCATCTCGAAGGTTGACTTTCGAGTTTCAATATGAAACTTCGTACAGATAATTTTCGTAACAGGTACTAGTTGATTGTGAAAGTTTCACCCTTTTTAGTTGCTTCTATCGTGAGCTACGCATACAAGTACAAAATTTGCTTCGGCATACAACAGAATTTTCAATATTCGTATCTCGCAATTCAACTAACGAGAAAAACTGAAACTTTTAGAATGAACTAATACTATAATGAAAATCATTTGCGCAAAATTTCACGCCAAAATTCGAAAGACAACTTTCAAACTGAACTGAAAAAAGCCAAGAGGTTTTTGTTGAAAAATTCCATTTAAATTTCGGTTTCGTAAGAACAGGTATCTTGAAACCTAAATCATTCTCGACTATTTTATCGTTCGTTAGTACTCATCGAATTAATTTAGTCTCGATTCAAAACTGATTTAGCACATGAAGAGACTCTCTCAATGAGCTATCAGTGTTTGCCGATAATATTCTTAAGTTGGAAATTAATTCTTTATAGATTATCTTTCGAACAAAACAATCGATGTAAAAACTTTGAAAATGTATATATTTGATCTTATATTATTTATTTGAACCTTCGTCAATCTGAAACATAAATAATCATAGTAGAAGTTAATTTGGATGAATCTATTTTGAAGTTTATATTTCAGATAATGTATCTTCATAAGGTTTCAATCCATATCTTTGCATATTTCTAACTAAGTTGCGTGATGACATGCTCTATTCTATAGTAAATCAAAATTAGAATAAAAGTCCCGAGAAAGTCCGACAAAAGAATTGCATTATTCACTAGACATTGTTTTTTGATATATTACGACTAGGTTTTTCGTCCTAGTAATTTACTGCACGGATACAACTTTTCGTACCTGTATCTTACCTGTATCCAGATACGGATACTTAGTGGCGTAACCAGAAAAAGTTAGGTGGTTGGGGTCAACTCTAACAGTTTTTAGAAAGGGTACCTAGGGTGATGCACAATGTTTCTTTTTCAGAGAAAAAGAATGCAGTAATGTATTCGTCTTTAAAATAGGATTTTAAAATAATATTTTTTCATTTATTTAGCAAACCAATACAAAAAGACACATTTACTTCAGTAATATTCTATTATTTTTATGCGAACTAGTGAAATGTCAACGAACTTTTCGAAATTGATCTCAAAATCGTATTTCACTGCGAAAATACACGATTTGCTTAATTGAATATCGGACAACGTACTGCGTGTCATTGTTTTTATCAATTTCAGCTTGCTGCACGTTCTCTTACATGTAGTAGATGAAATTGGTACAGTCATAGCAGCAATGACAAGAAAGATTGTTGTTGGCAATGTCTGTTTGTATAGTACTAATTCAACATGAAAATCAGCAACTGCAGCATATTTATGTGATGAATTAATTTCGTGTTTAGGAAACTTTGTTTTTTTTTTGCCAGAACATTTTTCCAATTTCTATTACCCAAGATAAATGCATCACTTCGGTTCTAAGATTACAAAAAAGAAAAGAAAATAAAGAACATTTTTTCAAATATTAATAGACAAAAAATTGAAGGAGAAATGGATTTATCTGCAAATAAATTTGTTCACTTAGTAATGAAAATTTACTCAATCTCTTTAAAAAACAAAGTGCATCGCCAAAAATGTCGACAGTAGTAGCGAAGGATACGATTTTGTTTCATTGAATATGTAATGATGGAAATGCTGAATACCAAATTAATCGAAATGGTCAATCATGTTTGTTTGTTCTATATGAAGATAACTTTCGTTGACTTGGTGATAAAACCCATCGAGTTGGTTCCCGACTCGAACACAAGGTTGGATCATGTGGATACTAATCGTCTGAGAAATTTGTAGTATGCGTTATTCTCGGGATGCAAAAATATAGCAAAAGTGCGTAATATATTCGAGTAACTATTCTATTTTGATTAGTTTAGAAAATTTCATTGAGAATATCAAAGTTCAGTACAACAAGCTCCGCATCCGGGTATGAAAAAAGTTTGATCAACCGGATCCGGATCCGAAAATTCTAGACCTGACGAGTTCTAGTTAATGGTTCTTTTGAAGAACGACTAATGTCTATAGGAATGATAGAAATATTTGTAGCTAATCGTACTGCTGATGACAAAGATGTTAATAGGGAAGACGATGATATTGATCAAAGAGGTTTATCCTTCGAATGACAAGTTGTTTCCGTTGATTCTGTTATTTGAGAAGATTCATCAACAGGAGAAATAGAAGTATCAGCTTTCTTTTTTTTTGTAAGACGATAAGCTGAAAAAGAACTCAATAGTATAACGCTTGGTTTGTAAAATCCATAAGGAAACAAATCCTTCGTGCAATGATAATCTACCAATCATTACTATTACAACAGACGGCTCTCTATCTATTTCGAGAAATAAATCTATGTATTCAATTGGCAATCAACTCAGAATGGACTGTGGAAGAAAATGTGGATGTCTTACGTTTTGTTGATCTTGTCGTCCTTCAAAACGATTGCTTTTTTTTAAAGCCGGTGGTTGGGCTCAGCCCAACCTAGCCCTAACCTAATTACGCCACTACGAATACCCAACCTATGGATTGCATTACTCTAACAAGTTGCTTATAGTTTAGGGGAACGACCAATCAACTATGTAATCAAGGATATCCCTATTAAACAACAGCATGAAAAATATATGTTTTCAAAATTTTTAGGAATTATACTGTTAAAAATAAAGTTTGTATCTCCACAAATCGTTGATTTTCACACACATACCTAGATATGAGTAACCAACCTACGGATTACAGCACTCTAAGCTCTAATGTAGCAGAAAGAACTTCAGAAAGTCTGAAAAGCCTATACTACATTATAAATATATAATGCTCAATAACTGTATAATATCGAATGAATATAATTAGAACTTCAATTTAAAACATAAATTTTACTTGTAGGACTTTGACGTGCCGTTAAATGCAGGACCATAGCGACTTTTGTGCCAGCTACAACTTAGGTTTAGAATTCACAAACCAATTTTGTCGCCTAGCTGCTCATTGTGCGAGTCTTACCCACGTCATTTTTCTAATTATGCCACTACACATAGGCTTTCTGTACTGTTTTTGCTGATTGTATAAATTCATGTGAGATTTTATTCAATATCATATCAATTAAAACAGTTTTATCATATTTTATATTTTGAATATTTCAAAATATCGAAAAGACGATCACTTTTATATTCATCACTATTTCATAGAAAGAATTTAATTAAATGAAAATTATTGATAGTTTAATAAAAACAAAAATAAATTAATGTTTAATCTAACGATTAAACTATTCAAAACGATCAATAAGTGTATTTCTACTTAATATTCAAATATTCTTTTCATCAAAATCTCAATCACTACTATTCATTACTCATGAGATATGCTAAAATCAATTCTTTTGGGAACATTCTTTGTCAATGTAAACTAAGATAAACAAAATTTTCTATTTAATATTACATCATACGATCGTCCAATCGATCTTTTTTTTATGATAGATAATAATTTTACATTGTTTTATGATGTTTTTTTTTTTTTTGTAAATGTTCATGTCCTAGTCGATTACTGATAAGAAATTGTTCATCTAATAAATCTTAATTAAACATAAATATATATTATTTCATATAATATTTTATTTCGACATAAATGCTTATAATGATATATATATATTCAAAAGACAAAAAAGAACTCAGAATTGAAAATTTATGCAAATCTTGTTGGTACACCCCATAAACCAGCAAGGTTAGCTTTTGCTTGTGCTCGTCGTTTTGATATTTTATCATAAAAATGTTCACGATTTAAAAGATTATTTAAATCAGTTAATATTTTTTCAAGATTATCATTATGTATATAATCATGAGTTGGTACCAAATTTTGATTGTTATTCATCACTCCTTCAGATAATTCTTCAGCAATAAGTGGATTTGCTAAAATTTGATGTGAAACAACCATGAATAGTAACTAAATGAAAATAAAGATATATAAAATTTTAAAAAAATAACAAGAAAATCAAGTTTATATATACTTGTATGCAAATAAGTTGAATAAAATTCATTGTTTGTTTTGCTCTTAGTTTGTAATGATTAGGATATCAGAATGTACTGAAATGAATGTTTGAAGAAAATATGTTTGTTTTTATAGTATAGAAGATGAAAATTTTTCGTTGCGTAAATCCGTTTTGAAATAAGATTTTTTTTTTCTTTGTTTTAGATGAAAATCTTAATTTAATTAAATATAACGGAAATTATATGTTTTATGAGAAAATAACAAAATATATTTTATAATATATTATTAATTTAAAGTTTTTTTGAAATAGTTCGAAGAAAAGAACATCATATTGTATATCATTGTATAGTAAAAAAAAAAGTGTCTATTCAATGTTTTGATACTTGTTTAAGAGAATAGACATACTTATAGTATATGAATATATTGAAATTGAGTAGTAAGCAATCAAATAGTTATTTTCTATAAAAACAAAAATCAAGATCTCTTATTTATCAATCAATAGTAAATGAATAAATATTTATCTTTTGCTGTCGAAGAATTTAATTGGGATGTTTTATCAATCGATATTCAACAAATACATTCGTTTATTATCATTATTTTAGTTTGTTTGTTTTTTATTGCAAAGTTGAATATCAACTTTCTGATAATGAAATTCTTTTCTAAAATATTTGCATGATAGTTAATAGATTTCCTTTTGGTACGAACGTCACTATTCATTGTAATTATTTTTTTATTACGTATGTAATACTATAATATAAAGAAAAGATTATACATAAAATTATAATTTTCTTCATTCAAGTGTTAACACATATAATGATTATGTTCATTTTGACTTGTGTACTATTGCCATACTAATAAAAAAAAAGGTTGACCGATCTTGTTTAAGTAGTAATGACACACAGAATGAATAGGAGGAAGGAAAAAAATTTGACCACTCTCTCAATAGTCATTATTTCAAGTTCATGTCTTCTTCTTCTTCTTCTTCTTTCTCATTTGCATTTATGCTGTAGAAATCGTCATTGTATTGTGAACAGCTGTTGAGCTTCCATATGTATATGTATATGAGACGAAAAGAAATATTAAGAAAGTAGATAAACAACAACAAACAACTAATAGCAACCTTTGTCTTGACCAGCACGACATCGGTCATCTTCCATCAATATGAGATAAGAGGATATGATGAGATGATGATTACTCGTCAAATTTGCCTAGCAGACATATGCCAGTCTAGTGATAGAGAACGGCGGATGTCTATCGCTTTCATTCTTCTTTTCATCACACTTGATTGAGTGTTATTCATCTTTATATATGATATAGAATAATTTAGTTTTCATTTTCTTTTTATGAAAAAGAAAAAGACGTGTTGAAAAACATATAATAATGAAATTCAACAAGATCGTTTTTAATCATTGTATATTTAATGATACGCAAAAATCGTTCGCCTTCGGTACAATATATACATACATATATATATATATATATATGAATATATAAATTTATTTTACTGGCACATTATTAATCGTCCTGAACAGTGTTCATTGCCGTCGTCATCGTTGAGAGAACGATAGTTGTTGTTGTTTGTACTATTGCTTTCTCTATCTCACGGTTTATTACGTAACATGATGTGTAATTATGCTAAATGAAACAATCTCGGGACCGTACACGTAGAATGGGTTTCTTTTTCACAGCAATCAATTCAAGTTCTTTTGTTTTCAATTGCAATATATTGATGGATAGTATGATGAAGGAGAAATATAAAGAGATGAAGACATACATCTCGTCAACGGAAATGATAGGGATTTATGGTCTCTCTCTCTTGTCAAAGGAAATAGCGCGTGTACAATATGATGATGATGATAATTGCAAAGGGACAATCGACCACTTTGTTCTTCCGAGCAGAACAGTAATGAACTATCAGGCTCGTTTGTCATTTAACCATCTTGTATCGTTGTTCTTTTTCTCGGTCTCTTTCTCTCTTTCTCATTTGGTCTTTTTTCTCAATATATATATATATATTGTGTATAAAGCATTGAGATAATTGTTCTTTGTCGTATACAACATAGAAAAAGGAAGGGGCGTAGACAACGTCAATTGATATTATGCATGTAGGGATTTCTCTTTATCTTTGATGCAACAGAAAAGAATCTTTTTGTATTCTTTTTGCAATGTATGAAAAAAGAAAAAAAACTAGAAGGTAAGGGTATTGATTTAATAATGAAACTGATTAGAATAGAATAATAGACCTTGTACATGTCGATCGGATAAAGAAGGAGAATAAGAGTTGTGTATACACAATGACATACACTCATAAAAACAGTTTGAAAAGGTCGCTTGTTCGGCACTAATGTGTTCTTGAATGAGTAAGTCAGGAGTATAGTCGAATATAGGACACATGCTGTGACCACTAAATATCTAACAAAAGAAATTTTTCTGTATGATGGAAGGACAATGACTCGTCGTATGACCTACATTCAATATTCAAAGTATTCTCAAAAAGGAAAAAAAAACGTAATATGCCAAAAATCTGTTTTTTTTTCTATTATTTTTCTCATTGTCTATTATTACATAAGTTTCATCTCAATGAGAAATTGGCTGACATCAGTTAATTAGAATTAGCGGACCGGTTGAGTTTGTATAACATCCGAAATGTAAAGAGATAACAACCTTGGATATTGTTGGCTAAATAAACACATAAAAAAATGGGAATGATACAATATACATTAGAAGCTTATTCAGAAGTATTTATTCGTGCTCATTTCTTACTTGCTTTTTTAATAATCGAATATATATATATATACATATATGCATAAATATTTCATGAGTATAAAGAAATGTATATAACTGTAAACTTCTATTGCTCCTGTTTGGATTCATTCTTTTTTTTTTGCATGTTTAAATCTTAAGCAGTAAAAATGTAAGTTACTATGCTTAAGGATAGTCAAATTGTTTGCATTCACATTGAAGGTGAAGGAAGTGTTTGTTTGTAGCGTTTTTTAATATATACACAAAAAAAAGAAGACTCAACTACTTCTTTGTCATTTTTCTTTTTCTTTATATATCTTGTTGCATCATATATGCCATCAGTACTAGACCAGATTTCTTTCTTTTCATCATCTTCTTCGTTTTTTTCTTCTTAGTCTCCTCCGTTTTTTTTCTTCTGTACTTCTCATGTTCAACATGCCCTATCACAAACTACAAAAAAGTAAGTGAGCTCATAATGCTTTTGACCAGAGGTCAGCAGCAGCATGACGCACGACTCAAACACTTATAGAAGGGTGGGCGGACACAGTAAAGGAGAGAAAAAAAAAAGACGCTGCACCAGCCGCACAGTAGCAAAAATAAGAAGAGAACAAGAAGAAAGAATTCTTCCATTTGGTCTCCTTCTCTCGCTCTCTGTCTCTCTCTAACCACAACTTTGTTCTACGATCGTACATGCATCACACCCACGTACAATTCATCGCCAGTAAAGATATAGATAGGCATAGTAGTAAGACAGATACAATCAGTCAACCAGCTGGGGGTACCACCATCATGTATGTATATTATGTGAAGAACATAAAAATTAGTCTCTAAAGGTTTGTTATAGTGTTATTGTCTGTTTTTTTCTTTGCCAAATAATATATTTCTTAGAAATTGATAGATGCAAAAAAAAATAAAGCCAAAGAAATCAAAGAAAGATTGAAACCTATAGGATCACGTCTTTTAACTTTTATGATTACGACACACAAGTTTCAAGTTGTTGTCACACGAGATTGAATAAAACAATGAATTCGTTTTGAAATTTTGACCACTATGCGATAAGATTACCCTTCGAGCTATCAAAATCGATGAAATCATTGAATATCAATACTCTCAACTTCATTGTGTCATCATATCAGAAGAAAAAGAAAAATGAAAAAGAAAAGTTTCTTTTAGTTTTATTTATTTATTTTTTCTAAATTTATTTTAGTATGGCTTCAAATCGTTTTGGTTATATATGTGAAAAATCATTTCATTTACATCGTATGAATGATTGTGATGATCTTGATTTATATTATCGAAAATTTTTAAATAAATTAAGTAAAATATGTTTAAAAATCTTTCTTCCATTATTACCATTAATTTATTTATTAACATTATTTCTTTGTCGTTTATTATTATATAATCAATTAATAATTATATTTGATATACGTACAATACTTTATTTAATATGCATTTTTTTAACATTCATTTTATTATTTCTTATACGTTTACATACAAAATGGAAAACACTTTGGTTTTGTACAAGAATTTTTTTAATATTACTTTTAATTATTCCATTAATATTAACATATCAAACAGAACAATATCATATATTATTTTCAACAATATCAATAACACTTATTTATTCATTATTAACATTTACATTAACACAATCATTAATTATTTGTTTAATTATATCAATATTACATATAAGTCTTTTATTAAATCAAAAAAATCAAATACAATGGAATAGTTTAGAATTTTTATCAATCATTTTTTATCATTTTATTATAAATATATCCGGTCTATATACATATATAAGATCAATAAAACATGTACGTCAACATTTTCATGCATATGAAATAAATTTATATGAAAAAAATAAATTAAATGTTGATTGTAAAAAACTAAATACAATTATTGGACATTGTCAACAACCACAACGTTTTATTGGACGTTTATCAAAATTATCTAGTGGATTTAATATCAAGTAAGATAGATTTTTCTATTTTGTTCGATAGAATTAGTTTTTGAATATAATAATATATAAAAAAAGAATGAGTAAATGAACAACAGCTTGGAGTAATGTATGTATTCATGACATTTCCTTATGATATTATAGTCAATCGACCTTTTAATCAAAAGAAATCTCAATTAGGATCTAATTTTTATGATTATTTTTTTTTTTGATTACACACTTGGATCACATGTAATTTTCGTAATGGAAACTATTATCAAAAAGATCTTGTTAATGTAATTATTATTTAGATCATTGAATTCTTTTTATTACTCTATTAGAAATTATCGTACGTTAATATAAAAGTTTTGCTTAAAGTTGTTATTGATAAAGGGCAAAAAACAATCATAGAATTGATCAATTGCGAAAGACATGACAAGTTTATAAACAGATAACAAAATGCTTAGTAGATGTTATATAATACAAACAATGAGTTTAAAATTATCCTAATGTTCCCTGTCTATTCCTTTATGTAATAGAGCTTTCATTTAAAAAAGAAAAGAGAAAAAGAAAAGATTGTGCGTTTTAGGTTATCTCTTCCCTGTGAATAAAACTTATATGAGAACGTTTAAATTCATTGGAATTTCGTTTCTTAGTTATAGATATGAATCGAGTATGAAAAATTTGCTAACTGTTCTCTCGATTAACATAAGTACTATATTACGACATTACAAGACAGAAGTATTTGTGTTTATGATCATTGTTTATTCTATACATCATCTCTAGAAACAAGAATTTTGCCATGCGAACGAATCATACTTAGACAAAACTTTATAAACAAAAGCTAAGTATCTGTATGTAGGTTCAGTATTTTATCTAGCGTAAGAGTCATAGGAGCGACAATCTTGCTTTCGAAAATCGAGTTTGTCCTTCCAAAATTTGTGATTATGGTAACAAATACTAATGTGTTTGTACATCGAAAAAAAAAGAAAGATATTCATTCTTCTGAAGTTTAAAATCGCGTCACTAGAAACAAAAAAAAATATTTGGATAAAATATTACATAGATTAATGCATAATTGCCGAGAACTAAAACCTTGAATTAAAAAGAAAAATATGAATAGATTTTTCAGCTAGAAGGCTCTACCATATTTGTATTTCGATAGTGTCAACATACCAAAGGCCACATATTGTATACTTTTCAACATATTCTAGAAAAGATTCGACCTATCCAATACTTATGATAATAAATGGACTAGTGCTTAACTATATACCATATGTTTTATATCGATCTAAATTAGTTTATCATTTGTTTGAAACTTATCAATAAGATTAAGTGTGATAACAAAAAAGGCACTCAACTTTTGTTTTGTTTGTATATTTATAAGAAATAAAAATCGAACTATTTCTTTATTTTTTTTTAAATTTCTTTCTAGTAGTCAATCAAATAATATAAATCAAAAATTTGGTACTGTAATTAATTGTAATTTATCATTAAATGAACAAACACGTCTTCATACATGTGATGAATTAGCATCATTATTTGATGTACTCTATTGTCAAATAGAACAATTAATAATTAAACAACAACCTCAAGCAAAATATTTTTTTGATAATGAAACAATAATTATTATACTTTTAAATGATAATGATAATGAACAAATTAATATAGATAATTGTTGTCGTTTAGCAATAGAATTATTTCGTTTTATACAACATGTTAATAATGTAACACAATGGTGTTTAACATCAATAATTGCTATTGATTATAATGAATTAAATATTTTATCATCAGAATATATACAAGGTTTAGCATATGATTATGCTCGATGGTTACGTGAAGAATGTCTTATTATTAATCGTATACATGTATCATCAAAAATTTATAATGCATTAAAAGAAAATAAATTTTATGAATTTCATTCTTATACATGGTTAACAAATAAAAATTTTCTAGGAAATAATTTAACATATTTTTTATTTAGTACAAATATGTATGAATCACATAAAAATTTAATAACATCAATAATTAATTCCAGTATGATTGATCAATTAACACGTATACAAGCACAATATCATGTTGAAAAACATTTAGGTACAATAACATTAACACGTTCATTACGTAAAAGAAGTTTAATTGAATTAACAACAAAACATCTTTATTGGTTTAGTTTAAATTTTAAAGAACAATATTTAAATAATGATCAAAATCTTAATCATGATTTTCAATTAACACATCGTGCATGTCGTCCAAATTATTTTATTTATGTTTTTATATTATTAATATTAATTGGTTCATTATGTCAATCGTATGTTATTAATCATTTAACATTATATTATTTAATATTATTTCCAACAATAATTATTGGAATTATTTTATTAATTATTTTATTTCTTTATTCAATACATATTGAACAAACACAATTAAAATTTCATATTAATAAAATGAATAGAAAATTCTATGTTTATTTAAATATACTTATTTGTTTAACTTTATCAACATTATTTATTGTTGCTACACAATATCATGCAGTACAAAATTTTAATTATTTATTTAATTTAAATGAAGTTGTTAATAAAACAATAACAACTTTAATAATGAATGAATCATCTAGTCAAATGAATTTAACTTTAAATAATACAATAATTAGGTTAGAAAATGAAAATTTTAATATCAAATTAATATAAAGTAAAACACATTAGAGCCTGTCGGGTTGGTCCGGAATCCGTACTCGGTCAGATCTGAGTCTGAAAATTTTGAACCCAACGACTTATAACTAGTACATGTTGAATATGAGTATAGATTCAACATTGTAAATTTTATATAAGAATAGAATAGAATAGAATTGATTAAAATTCATTTTATTAATAGGATTGAAAATACAAAGAAATTTAGAGTATTTCACTATTTTATCGAGTTAAATTAGTGTCATTTTTTTTCACAAATGTTGAGTATGTAAAACTATGTTATATCGATGAATTATGGTTGAAAATCTTTGAGAACGACTTTCCTAGACTGTATGGTTGAAGAGTTGTGAAAATTTTCCTAACGTCTTCGATTTCGATCATTTCAAAATAAATCAAGATAGGCATGATGAACGACGTTGAGCACAGCATTGATCATTTTTTTTTCAATTCCAGTGTACAATCTAAGGATCACAATTTTCGAAACTTTACTTTTTTGATGTCATACGATTTACAGAACAAATTGTAATCTGATGACTTAAAATCACATTGAAATTGAAAACAAAGATCACCACTAGATTCACCGGGTTTCATTATCCCTATTTTGATCTATGTTGAGATGGCCTAAGATCAGTTACTCGACGTCAAGGATCTCAAGAAAATCTTTATAACTCTTGCACGATACAGTCTAAAAATCTTGGCTTTGTATAGATTGAAAGTATCAGAATTATATAAAAGATAAAAACTACAAAAAAAAAACTGAATTTAATTAAATTTATTTCATTTTGTTAATAAATGATCGAATATTTCAACTTTATTTATTTCAATTTTTGACGAGAACATTTTTTTTGTGCATCTATATAGAAATTCAAGTATAATTGAATTAAATCTGAATAGTACTCAGAACGATATCGAAAAACAATTGATTTCATTCTATGTTTACATTTACTTTCAAGAAAAAGAATATTAAAAACTAATTGGATAATAAAACAAATATAACATAAAGATATTTACATCTTATAAGTAGTTCTTGAAAAAAAAAGGAATTCATACTGTTCATATATAATTTTTCTTTCAAATTTAATTACTGAATATTTTGATTACTTTAGTATATCATCATCATTTGATCGTCAATATCATGATTATCTTATTTTATCTCCAATCTATGCACTTTATTTATGTTCAATTTATCAAGAATGTTCATGGATAATAAAAGCATTTTTTATTATGATTTGTTTAATAGTTCAATTATGTTTATTTGAATATATATGGTTAACAACAAATATATATTTTCCATCTATTAATCCATTACATCATTATACAACATTTACATTAATTATATTTCATAGTTTCCTTTTAATAATATCTTCATATGTACGTGAATGGTTAGAAAAAATTGATTTTGTTTGGCTTAAACAAATTGATACTGAACGTTTAATTATTATTCGACAACGTGATGAACTTGTTAAACAAACATCATTATATTTACCATTACGTGCTATTAATTATTATTTACGTAATGATTCTGATTTAGCATTATCACAACATTATCACATTAAGTATGATCGTATGGCATTATTATATATAAATTTTTTACCATTAAATGTTGAACATGAATGTTTGCTTATAAATTATCTTAATGATATTGAATATTTATTAAAAAATAATGATAAATATATTGATATAGTTATGCATAAAAAATCTACAATTAAAGAAATTATGTTTTCAATTGATATAAATATTGATGATTCAATAAAAAATCTTCAACAATTAGTCGAATTATTATTTCAAATTGATGAACGTTTAAAACAAATATCATCAACAACAATTAATCTTGCTGCTTGTTTACATATTGGTTGTGTTCATGAAATATTAATACATTTTGAAAAATATCCAAAAGTTGATCTATGGAGTGAACATATAACACTTTTACAATTACTTATTAGTAAAACACAACCTAATCATTGTTTAACAACAGCATCAATTTATCATTTATTAAATGATCTTTATTTATTTCGAACAGCCGGTTCAATTGTTAGTACACAATTTAATACAGTTAATAATACAAATATTTATTATCTACTTGGCCGTCTTATTGGAGATAATGTCTTTCAGGTAAAATAAATAAAAGAAAAAAAAACATTCGATATACGTTAAGTATTCTATTTAATAAGTTTGAATATGTATAACCAATTAAAAATATTCTAGAATCATCTCATTGATGAAAAGTACATAAAAAAAATCGACATTCGTTTTTCTATATTTTGCTAATTAAAAAAAAGTGTCTTGGAAAGAAATAATAAAATTGCTAATTTTCTACTCTGTTAAATCAATGAATCGATCATGGTTATCATACGACAGAATCTTTCCATATGACACAAAAAGGCTTTGGGAATAAGACTTATCTCATTACATAGAGTTATTTCAATACTATTAATATTGTCAATGTACAGAACTGAACTATGTTTTCAAAAATTGATTAAAATTCTTTGAGAATACTATTTTAAAGATGTACTAATTAAAGTTGTATCAGATATCTCGTTTTCAATAGTTTACATTCTATTCAATTGTTTTCTTGCATGTTTCTGTAAAATTTACAATAAATAAGACTGATAATTGAAACGTGATCAATATCTAGTTTTAATTTAATGTTCTAAATAGATGAACATACGATTGATATTAGATGAATTTTGAAAGGATAGTTAAATTTCGTACATCAAAAGTATTAATCGTATTGAAATTTTTAAAGTATAGGCATAGTTAGGCCCGTCTATTTACATTGATGATCTGAATGTGTACAGACAATTAAGGCACATTCAATGTTAAAATCTTAAATGGTAAAAACTAAACTAACATAAAAGCGAAAATTTTCGATATAACAACTTATAGTCATTTTTCTCCAGTTGAGATCGACCTAAATTTTCAAAGAACGTCTATCAGAAAGAATACTTTATGTCATGGTGATCTATTCATCGAGTTCTACAACTTTGCATAAAGACAATTGAAATCAGAGATTCACATTTAAGGATTTTCTCCTCATCAGTAGCCAACACATAATGACATAGATTTTGCTCTAATAGTTTTTTCTTTTACTATCTGGCAAGATTTCATCATTTTAATGATAAACTATAGATCTCCTAAATCTACGCATGTAGAAATATGAAAAACAAAATTAATTGAATCCAAAAGATGCAATCTCACATAAGCAATAATCTATTAACATTAATTTTCCAATTAGGAGAACTTTTCAATATATGATTTTTATTGAAATATCTATTCCTATAAATTGATTAATTTTTTAATCTTTACTCAATGTGCATATGTTCACCTAAAAAACTAAAATCATTAAAAATTTCTTAATATTAATTCTATTTTAGGGTCGTAATGCTCTTCCATTAACAATTGGTCATACAAATGTTGGTACTGTTCAAAAATCTTCTAGTACAGACGATTCTCATCATTCCCAATCATCTGATCTTCGTTGTAAATTAAATTCTCAAAAAGAACAAAATCATATACAAGCATCAACAACAACAACAACATCATCATCAATTGTTCTCAATGAACAACAAACTCTTCTTAAACAATCATCATCATCATTATCAGCTCGCAAACATGTACGAATATCAAATCATCTTTCATCAATTGAAAATCCTTCTTATCGTCAAACACTTTTACAAGCATTAAATGCTACAACAAAAAACAGCATTAATAATAATAATAATACTCAACATCAAATAAGTCCTATCAAAAAATTATCTAATCGTTTAGTAACAAAAAAACATACACCATCACCAATACCAAAAGAATTTTATGTACCACGTATGACTCATTTAAGTGATAATAGTTGTTGGTCATCAAGAGAAGCGATGATACAATCAGAAACAAGTGGAAGTAAATGTTTAATATTAACACAACAAATGTTGAATGGATCAACAGGTAAAAAAAAATAATTGTTTCCTTCTGTTTCTTTTCTCATTCTTAAATAATATAATGTTCGGTTTTTGTTTTTGTTATAGATGATAATAGTCGATGTAAATCAACACCACCACCACCATCATCAGCTCGAATGTCATCATCAAATCGTCATTTATCAATTGAACGAAAAAGTTTTACAGAAGAAGATTTTCGTCAATTACTTCACGAACAATCAGCAAAAGATGCTAATAATCCATCACGAAGTTTATCAATAACAAATGAAGAAACAGCTTCATCATTTTCTGGTTGGGATGATATACCATCATCACCATTACCAAGTATTAAATCTAATCATGGAAATATTCAACAACAACAGCAACAACAACAAGACTCTATTAAACCTATATCATCACCACTTGTTGATTGTTATTATCCACGTCGTCCATGTGATTTATCATTTACAGTTAATATGACAACAACTGAAGATGATAATAGTAGTCGAACTGATGCAAAATCAACAATTATTGCTTCACCATCATCAACTGTTGTTACAATTACTTCGCCACCACCTCAACCACCACCGCCACAACCAATACTACCAGTGCCTATTACTAAACCAACTGTTGTTACATCTCAATCACAACAACAAATTCCAAGATATCGACCAGGACCATTTAATTTAGCACGTAAATTAATAGCTGAAACATCTGAAAGTGCTTTATCAGAAATTTCTATTGAACATCATCATGAACCATGGACACAAAATATTGCTTATCAATCAAAAGTTCCTCAACGAACACGTCTTTCATCAAGTTATAGTAATTTACATGATTTTTTACAAATAAATGACTCATCAAAGTAAATAAAAAGAAAAAAAAGGAATCAATTTTATTTTATTCTTATTTGTTGTAACATTTCTAGATATCGTCCTAAACCAATTCAATCACCAACAATAATTCAGAGTGATTTATTACAGCGTTGGCTTGAAGATCAACTTAATCTATTTCGATATCAAATTAAACAAACTCCACCATTATCAACAAGAAAAACCAATCGATTTTCGAATAATATTGTTATTAAGAATGATTCAACGGATGATGAGTCAGATACTGTTAGTGAACATACATTTACTGCTTTGACAAATCAATCAAATTTACAATCAAAATCTGTATCATCAAATAAACGTCCGTATAATCATGTCAGATATAAACCATTACGAAAAAATTCAACACAAACATCAAATCTTATTCGACATGAATCTCTTAAATATCGTAATAGACCATTATCATATGAAAATAATTCTCAATTAAATAAAACACCTTATAATTATCAATCAAATCCTATAAAAAAACTTCCTCATCGAACTGATTCATCATCAATGCCTCGTTCAGATTTAAGTGATATATCATCATCTCGACCAGATAATTTATCTGAAAGTGTTATATCACATCTTGAATCTGAATATGATAATATTTATACTCAACCAATAAATTCAACTACACCAATAACAATTATGAATAATTCACAAATTTTAAGTGATAATGAGGATGATGATGATGAAACTACTCTAGCAACAACAATAACAACAAACAATCGATGTTACTTTTAAATAGTTGTGTTTTGTTTTTTTTTGGTCGTTTTCTGTTTTCGTTTTTTTTTTCTTTTTTTTTTTATATATCTTTGATGTGTTGTCTATGAAAGAATAAATGTATGCTTAATAGGATATAATAATTGAAGTGTACATAACAGAAAAATTGAGTAGACATTGTTTTCTATCGATTTATATATGGTCTGATAGAGTTCGAAGAGCTGCTTACGAATATATAATTTTATTTTCAATTAGGTTACCTTATCGCTACAAAAAGCTTTAAATATTCTTAAGTTCACAGATATAAGTAAAATCACTTTTTTTCTCAAAATAACTCTTAAGTTTCTATAATCTTTTTTTTCTAAACTCTTTTGAAAATAGTTATTTTTTCTACTTCAGAATAAAAAACTGAGTAGAAAAATATCATTTTCTTAGATATAAAACAAATAACATACAACAATTCTATCCATATATGTAGACTTCTAGCATGTCTTTGTAGGTACTTTTGTAAACATGTCTAGCATTTTATGACAGAAGATAGAAGCAAATGTCTTATCTCGTTTAAATGAGTTTGTTTCGAGCTAAAAATATACCCAATTTGTTTTATTGTTGAGAAAATCGAACGTTTTCTCGTTTTACTAGTAAAATGGCTTTGTGTATTAAAACCTAGTTAAAAAATAAAATAAACAACATTTTTAGAGTTAGCATAAAAATCTACATTGGGTTATATATAGTTTAGCAAATTCTGTGTCAAATGAGGAATCTGTCAGAGGCAAAATTCCCCGAAAAAAATGCTGAGATAGAGTACAAGTGTGTTTTTCACGGTCAATTAATTCAGCTAAAATACACATGGCTCAGTGTAGGTTTTCATACTAATTCTGAATATGCTGCTTATTTCGTTTTTTAATTGAATTTTGATCATAGAAATGAAAAGTATGTATTCGTAATTAGCACTTCAAGCTGTTTATGTGGAATTAATTTAATCTTCTATCCATGTTAGGATCTAAACTGACATTGTGTTGATTGCAAGTAGCTTATGAAGAATAAAAGTAATCAAACCAACACACAAACATAGAGCATATAAACCGATACATAAAGATCACATGAGTCATGGATGACAGTTTTTGCAGCGCTGAATCACCTTCATATACAAGAAAAATCCATATATCGTCGACAAACGAGTCATTTGATACTTGTAGAGTAGAACAGAACGATATAAACATGGCTATGTGGGAGGAAAGATGGCAGCATGATGCTAATTTTCTAGACAGAAAAACTCTATCATTCCGTCATTCTTCTCCAACTAGTTCTCCTAGCTCTATCAAACCATATATATATATAAATCAATGAAAAATAAAATTCACTCGAATTTTCCATTATATGCACCTTATGTTATTGAAAGATGTCAGCATTTTTTTTTTTGTAACAACCATCGTTACAGCTAGATCTTCATTTAAAGAAGACAAACAACTTGTTCTCTTCTCACAAAAAGGAAGACAAATACCCGTTTGGTTAAATAAATTTTCTCATTCTTCGTCGAGGAAAAAAAAACAGAGTTGATTGCATGACGTTCTCTATTCTTTTTTCTTATGGTAAAAGCCGACGTCTATTTCTTCTTGTTGATATGAGCAACGGACAATTCGGCGATTTTTTTCCTAGATCATTCATATGAAATTATCCAATCAGAATTTATTTCTTCATGTGAGGAATATTTTTTTTTGCATGTTATTTCTTATCTATTTAAGAATATTGTCACATCGACATTGACTTACTTTGTTGTTCTTGAATTAAAAATGGGTTGTTGCAAATCAACACAATACGGTTGTTGTATTGCTATTGATCATGATGAATCAATAATACTTAATAAACCAACAGGTAAAGAAATTCGTTATGGTCCTGGTTGGTTTTGTTTTCCAAGTTGGTGGGATGCACAAGTTATTAAATCAATAGCATTACAAAGTAATCAATATATTATTGTTAAACATATTATTGATCCAAATAATATAAGTACTTCTCATACTCGAAATGATATACCATTAACAAAACGGACAACTACAAATGAAAAAGATGAATTATTAAATGATTCTGAAATGCAATTAATTGAAATTGTTCGTGGACCACAAATATATCAACTTAAAAATCCTTACGATATTTTTAGTGAAATAAAATCAATGCTTAATTTATCATCCACACAATATATTATTGTAACAGATAAATTAACAGGTGTCAAACGAGTTGAATGTGGTCCACAATTATTTTGTCCTAAACCATATGATGAAATTGGAGAAATAAAAAATCTGTATAATTTATCATCAACTGAATATCTTCTTGTTACAGATCAATCAACTGGCGAAAGAATTACAGTTACTGGTAAGGAATGAGAAATATTCAATTAATTAAAAACATGATATATGTACATATATAGATATATGTTTAAGATAACTGTTTCAGAAGATGAAAAGAAAATTTTTATAATAAAAAGTGTTCCCGATTTAATGTTTGCAGAAGTATTGAGAATATTAGCCTATTATTAAAAGATATGTTAGCATATTAATTGAAAAAATATTTCGTAAAATAGATGTAATTCATTTATGTTATGTGTAAGAATGTTAGAATATATGATAATTTGAACTATTATGTATATATCAATCGAATATATAAGTTATTTAAGAGAGAATTTCTTCAGATTTCGATGATTTTTTGCCTATAGATACTACATAGTGTTCTAATAAAAAAATCCTACAAGGATTTGGATTCCTATTGATATTTTACTAAGCTATCGAATTTTTAATGTCTATTTTCTAGACCTCAGGTTTTCAACAAAGTCATATTTTCGAATTTTGATTGAAACTTTGTGCATATAGAGAACTCAACTAGACTAGCGTCCATAAAAAATTCAAAAGTTTTGAATAAAGTCTCTTTAAGATATAGACTCTTTTCCATGAATAATATATAAAACATGTACTTTTTGAAAGATTCATATCTCGAAGAGATTTTGTTCAAAATTTGTGAATTTTTTTATGAAAGCTAGTCTAGTTGAATTTTCTATATGCACAAAGTTTCAAAACAAAATTCAAAATTACGGGCTGTCTGAAAATCTGGAGTTCAGAAGATAGACATATTAAAAATTTGATAGCTTAGTCAAATCTCAATTGGAACTCAAATCCTTTTAGGATTTTTTATTAGAATACTATGTCGTATCTATAGACAAAAATTCATTGAAATCTGACGAAGTCTATTCGTTAGCTGTTATATATATTGACATTTTAGAGTTAGAAATGTTTTACAGAAATAATAAAGTAGCTTGCTGTTTCGCATTGATACAACAACATACTATGTTGAGATGTGAATAGGACAACACTGTAAGAGATACATTGATCGTAAAGAAGCACATAGTTTGAAGGATTTTCCTAAGTCAAAAATGATTTTTCTCTATACTATCGTCGTGAAAAAAGTCTTCAATAGATGCTTATCTAGTTATAGATGTTATGGATAACTTTTTTGAATATGGAAGATATTTGTATAGATGCAGTTTCAAATTAATTCGAATATTGCTAGGACTTCTACTACATAGTATGTAAGCCATCAATGTATGGGGTTTCTGGATTAATTCTAGTTTGTGTCATACGAAAATGAATTTAGAAGCAATTTATAGACAGTTTGTGAGATCGAAACGATGGTTTTGTTGTGTTTTTGAAAAATGTCATTTTATCGTATGAATTTTTTCGAAAATATTCAGTTTTGAACTGCAAAGAGTTTTATTTTTATTGTTTATACTTTTGTAATAACAGTTTCATAAATATTACAAAGCACACTTCTTTTAATTTATTTGATTTCTTTAAGTTTTTACAAATAATACTCAACTCTTTAGAAATGACAGGTGTTCAAGTCAAAAGTGTTTCTTTCTTTAAAAAAATTCTGTTAGACAGCAAGCAAAACTGTGACAATCATTTAGATGTCTCTGTTTTTCTTCTAGTCACCTGCATAGTGTCACTGCAAAATGATAATATATTCTTCTTTATCTTTTTTTTTTCTACTAATCAACATCTTCTAGTGTTATCATTTCTATTGACTGTAATTACTAGTCGCTTTTTATCTTTCTCTCTGTCTTCTATGCGAAATACACTACGACCGAAGTGATGAAGTAGTTTAGTCAACATGTATCAAGAGAGTAGTAGTAATGCTACTCCACCAATCTATTATTCTCTGTTTCATTAAAATCCAATTAATGTGAATTTCGAAAAGAAAAAAAAACTTAATTTCCTTTTTTTTTTGTAAATAATTACGGTCACCCATAGGGACACATGATTATCTTTTATTATTATTCAAAAAATAGATTGACATCAGGCAATTTATTTTATTGCTTTCTGTTTATTATAATATTGACTTTGTTTATTGATTAATAATTAAATCAATATCTATAGGATTTATTTTTCGCATCAATCAAATTTTTTTAAAATCTCTAATGAGACTGCATTGACAAACTAACTCATTTATATGATTATTATCAAAGATAGAAAGTCAATAAAATCGATACGAATAGATACTTTTAACCATGAAAATTTTTTCAATAAATTCTTAATTTTGTATAGCAAAATATGAAATGGTATCAAATAAATTCTTATTTCTATTAAATATATGACTAATTTATTTTTTGTCAATTATTAGAGTAAAATAGAATGAATGTGATATTATGTAAAAGTTAATTTTCATGCTTTACTTCATTTCATTTTAAAAAAACTGTTAGCGCAATTCCTGTGAAATTAAAACATGGAATATGATGTTGCTACTCATATGGAAATTGTTTTATTCTGTTTATTTTGAGGTCATATTTCTTCACCGTCCTTTACTTAATCTTCTACAACTGCAATAAAAAAATAGTTCATATATCACAGTCTGTGATGGCCTTTTAGAAATTATCTATCACGAACTGTGAAGAAAGATAGAGGAGTGGATGCAAATTTCTACCCTATATACTTCAACACTCCTCTGGAATCATGTTTCATAAAATGTTTAATAAGTATTAGTATACTTCATGAAGTTTAATATGTTCTATCCGTTGACACCAAATACTTTATTTTTAGCATCGCTCCTGATGAGCAAAGTCTTGCACAAATCGTTAGGTAACTGTAGAAAAAACAAAGATAGTAGATTTACAGAGCAGGAGTTCTCTATCGAATAGGACTGAAACAAAGTCTTTAATACGTCGAGAAATGCTCTAAAAAGAGGGGAAAATTCTAACCCGTTTATTATGCGCCACACATTAAAGAGTGAATGTAGAGTATGGGTCTTCTGACACCTTCCACACACATCGAGTTCCATATACACACACTCAAAATGCTTTTTTTCTTAGTTCCACTTTTCTATCAGAATTAATTTCGATATAACTTCATGAAAATCTGTAGATCTAAAAGTTTTAATTTTAACAAGATATTCTAGTTCATATGCTAATCAATTAGATTATTATAATAAAACAACATATTTATTTTTAGGTCCAAAATTATTTTTACCAAAAGCATATGATCAAATTTCACCAATATATAATTATGTAGTTCTTAATCATACACAATATTGTCGTATAATTGATAGTCGTACAGGAGTTATGCGTATTGAAAAAGGTCCGAAAACTTTTGCACTTGGTCCATATGAAGCTTTATTGAGAAGTGAAGATCAAACAATATTTGATATAATTAATATTGATACAGAAAATGCTGTACTTGTTAAAAATCTTGATACAGGTCTTGATGAATTAATAACAACACCACAAAAATTTATTCCATCATTTACACAAAAATTTATGGAAATAAGAAAATTAGTTAAATTAGCACCATGTAAGTTTTATCCAGATTTTTCGAAAACAAAAAAGTCAATTTCTGTTTTGCGTTTTTTCTATTGAAAAAATTCTAGATGAAAATATGGTATTAATTGATAAGGATGGTCAACATATTTTAAAAAATGGTGTAAAAGATAAATCATTTTTTATTTATCCTTATCAACAAGTTTATAAGCAAAATTGGTCAAATGATCTTAAAAAAGATCATCGTTCAACTGTTCAAGTTGACCGATTCGATACAAGAAATCAATGTAAAATTAATTAGATTAATAAATTTTATATTATTTATTTATTTATTGTCGATAGATATGGATTATGAATTTCTTGTTCGTACGGCGGATAATGTTGAAATTATCCTTGATGTTTCTATTTTTTGGCAAATTACAGATTTATATAAACTTGTTCTTGTTACACAAGATCCTCCGGAAGATATTTGTAAGTTTTAATTATCTAATGTAGTCTTATCTAGAGATTTAACAATTAAACTATATTCATGATTGAATAGATCACTTAGGATTTAAAGTACATAGGGTGACTCAAAAGTCACTTTATCAAGAAAAAATTTGAATATTGTCGCCATGTTTTGACCAGATGGGCTGGTTTTTTTCAAGTGTCATCGTTCACCTAAATACTATTCAGGAGTTCCTGAAAAAAAAAACAACAATGTAAATCAGTGGTCAAAATCAACGACGCAGATAATTTTTTTCGAGTAGAGGTCCATACTATTGTCGTTTGGTCTCATATTTACATTAAAGATTCATGTTTTGTTACAGATTGTATCCTGATAGTTTCAGTCCTAAACGGAGAGAATTTGTTGAAAAAACTGTAAATGTTTCTCGAATGTTCTTATGTGGCTCACGAAGAAACTACTTGAGATGATACTTCGTGTTTGAGATAAGACTATATTCATTACATAGGACCTGTTGTGACTAGAAGAATCCTAGAAGGATTCTTTCCCATGTGCTACGTTTTTGAAGTTATGGCCGTTACACTGAATGTTTTACCTTTGGCACAGTACTTATCAAAAAAATTCTGACAAACAAATATTGGCCTAAAACTTTACCCATAGACAATTCTTGAAGTCATTAGAGTCTCCTAAAAATTTCAGCAAAACAGAATGGTCTCTATTCGAGATATCAAATCCACAAAAAACCATGATATTCCACCAAAAGGATGGAAAATTTAGGTTTTTTTTGTGGATTTGATAGCTCAAGAAGGGAGTACTCTTTTTGACTGATATTTTTACAAGACTTTTATGACTTCAAGAACTGTCTACGAGCAAAATTCTAGGCAAAAACTCGTTTGTCCAGTTCTTTTTAGAAATATTGTGCTAATGGTAAAAAAATCCAGTATAATGGCCATAATTCAAAAAACGCAGCGCATAGAGAAGAATTCTTTTCGATTTTTTCTAGTTTCAACAAGCTCTACTTAATGATTAGAGTCTCATCTCAAACGGTACGAGTCACTTCGGATGATTTCTTCGTCAGAGGAAGTTTTCTTGTGATAATTATCTCGTTGTCATTTATAATAAATTTCAGTTTTAGCCACACGAAAGTACATGCGACACATTGGTAATTTTCTTAACAAATCTCTTGAAGTTTAAGGCTGGAATGCTCCAGCATACTGAGAAATAAAAAATGTATCTGTGATATAAATATGAGATCAAACAGTTACTGAAGGTGACTGTTTTCCATTGCAGTCAATGGTAGCATTTCAAAACAGTTTTTTGGTGATGCTAATTTTTTTCTCGGCAAAGTGACTTGTTTGAACCATCCTGTGTATTTTATATTCTAATAAAAAATGCTTTTTTTTAAAACTTTTTCATCAATTTCTAACAAGATTTGTTTCGATTTTTCTTTCTGTCAGTTAACTTAACTATTTATAATATTTGAAAATATTTATTTTCATTGCTTATCTATCAAGAATGAGATTAGTTTCGTTGAGAGATTATTCAGAGTTCTTTCTTTAAGAATTTATTGATACCATCGGATTTATCTGTTGATAGTATATGATGCATTTCAACTAAAACAAAAGGAAGAGTCACTACTTTTAAAGTGTCAGTCGGATATCTGCTCTTATTATAATTCGTTCCGTTTTATGATAATATATACAACAGTATTTATGCGAGAAAAAGGCAAAAAATGGCACTCAGGAAGCTATAGATCGCATTGTACGATGAAAAAAAAAGTTCATTTGAATAGTCTATGAGCAATAAAATTCCATATGCTATAAGCAATTCTCTATTATGATTTGAATACAATAGTGAATACTTTGTAAATATTGATCAAGGAAAAAAGAATTTGACAACAAGTCAAAAGTAAAACGACCTACACTATAACGCAGTTTTTTTTTGAAGATTCATTTGAAAGATAATTAGCTCGTTTCTATTGAGAGAAAAGAAAAATTAAATATATTTCGCAACAACGAGACAATCACTTCTGTGAATTAAACAAGACTGATAAAGACCTTACAACAAAAATACAGTACGTGTTTTTTGTTTATTCTTCTAAATGTTGTTCTTATGAAATTCGGTAGCCTTTAAAAAATTAGTACCATTGAAAAAAAAGCCGTGTTTTATATCGGTGCTTTCAGTATTTTGTTTCGCCGTGAGCTCTAGGAACAATATTTTTGAAAAAAAGAACATGCACTCTGATTTGATCCTAGTTGTCATACAGAAAATTGCAGCTCGAGAAAATGAAGTATGGCATTATGCGACTTTCATATCTACCTGAAGAAAGCATCTGAAAATTTTAAGTCTATGCCAACTTTTGCTTTAATAATCGAGATTTATCTGCTCAAAAAGTTTCATAATATTTGGTTGAGCCATTCTCGACAAATCTGGAACAATTCCCTGAACTATGTTAAATGAAATATGATCGATTTGTCTTGAATAATGATT